CAGGGTCTACAGGGTCTCACTATGTAGATCGGACTCAGTGATTTTCCTGTTTTCAGGCTCCCAAGTGCTGGGATTACAGACGCAAGCCACCACACCCAGTCTCAATCGCCATCTCAGCATGCCCTGCGGGCAGGGCCGGCACAGCACCTACAATCATGTTTTGCAGATAAATAAACTCAGGCTCAGAGAAAATGACACCCTTGAAGTTTCACTGCTGTTTGGCAAAAAGACTGGAAAGTGACAGAGCCCAGAGATCCTCCCACTGTCTCTGAATTCGGGACGCAGGATGCAGCCCATCCTGGCTAGGGAAGCTGCGCAGAAAGCCTGTCCCAGCGAGCGTGTACATCCGGGGACTTTGCATTCTGCCTTTCTTTGGAGAGATCGTACTGAGCAATAGGGAGTTCCAAGATGAAGAAAACTGACCTCGCTCACTCATGTACTAAGCGCCACCCGAGGCCTGTGTGGGGTTCGTGCTGAGCTCCCAGAGCGCAGCCGACGCGGGCCGCGTGCCACCCGGGAAGAGCGTGCTTGGTCGGTGACGCAAGTCCAGAGGCAACCCCTGGCGCAGGCTGGCGGCTGGTGATCTGCCAGGAAGCGCTCCCGGAGAAGGCAATGGCTGTGCTTCCGTGGCGCACGGGCCGGCTGCCGTGGGGCAGGTTTTCCAGCAGAAGGAGGAGCAAGGGAGGCTGATTTCCGAAAGGAAGTGAGGAACCGTGGAGTAAGGGGAAGAGCACAGCTCGCGCCGGACCGTCTGGGCTCAGGTCCCGACTCGCTCTGTGCTGTGCAGTCTTGCGCACATCACTGCTTGCTCAAGTCACCTTTTTGTACCTCAGTTTCCTCATCGCTAAAACCAGGACAATAATAGCAAGTATCTCAAGACTGGTGTAAGGATTAAACGACATAATGTCGCACAAGGTCTTGCACATTACTGGGTTTTGGGTTTTTTGGTCATTTTGTCTCCTGCCACTTCCAGCACAGCTTTTGAAACTGGAGGGAGGAGCGTGGAGGATGGAGAAGGCAGGAGTTGACTTGCAAAAGCTGGGGTCAGGTGGGGCTCTGTCCTTGTGGTAGACAGGAACTGCCCACACCTGCAATGTGTTTATACAACCAATGTATGAATAAATGCAGGGAGGGTTTAAGGGGAGGGTACTATCTGAGACAGGAAGATTAATCTGTAGCTGAACAGTATGCCTTGTTTGCTTCAAGGGGAACAAAAGGAAACTATTATTTCAAACAAAGGTCAAGTCACTGCGTGCCTCAGCGCCCCCTGCCAAACTCATGAGAAGCAGTGGCCTTGTCCTAGATTCCCTAGGTACAGCCAGCTGCCCCCAACAGTCTCAGTGCTTAGTATCAAATCCAGGGCCTTGTAGGTGCTAAGCAGGGGCTCTACCACTGAGCTACACCTCTAGCTTCTTCACTCCTTTTTTGAGATGGGATCTCACTTCATTACTCAGACTGGCTTCAAACTCCTGTGCTCAAGTGATTCTCTGACCTCAGCCTCCTGAATGTTGCAGACCTTTTGAAGGTTCCCCACTGCCTGTGCGAGAGGTGTAGCAAAAGAATGAAATAAACAGACACATTCAGTAATGCATGCCAGGGGGCTGGAAGGTCAGTGCCTCAGGTGGCAGGCTAGCCTGTGTTTACTGAGAGTACACAAGAATCAGGGATTACCAGTGACTCAGGGTGAGTGACCATATGCTAATGAGGATCTTGATGAGGGTGGTGGGGAGAGAAGGAGTTTGGCAGGTTAAGAAGAACTTTGTCGGCGCTGGTGAGATGGCTCAGTGGTCTAAAGCACCTACTTAGAACTGGCTTAGCAAGCAAAGGGGACCACGGTTCAATCCCCCAGCACCACATGTCAGCCAACCCCGCCCCCTGGTGGGCTGAGCTGGCCACACACACACACACACACACATAAATAAAATAAAAAAAAAACAATAATCTTTTTAAAAAAAAAAAAAGAAGAAGAAGAACTTTGTCCTTTCCCAAGGTGAAATCCTATTTTTATTACTACTGAGTTCTCAAGAGACCAGGATGGCTTCAGGTGATGCAGGCTTGCCCTGGGGTATCACCGCATCACGGGAGAGACCTCAGGCAGTGAAACAGGGCACACAGAATTATGTCCCCACATAGCATAGCTGGCCCTCATGGCAATGCCCTAAGCCTCATTTAATCATGAAATCATTTTTCCCAATAATTATATAGAATAGCCCTCAAGTATCTGGGACTGTCCATTCTTGGCTTTGCATTAGTGTCTGATAAATACTGGTTATTGTGATATATTACAAAATAGTATGTGAGGGCTGGGGATATAGCTCAGTGGCATAAGTACCTGCCTGGCAAACACAAGGTCCCGAGTTTGGTCCCCAGTACCAAAAAGAAAGAAATCAAAATAGTACGTGAAAGTCTTTTAAGCCAAGGAAGTTTTCTTACATGGGATGATTTAAACTGGCTTTGAAGAATGAGAATTTCTTTTGCACCAGGGATGAACTCAGGACTTTGCACTTGCCAGGCAGGCACTTATGCCACTGAATTATATCCCCGGCCCCATAGAGGGAAAGATCAACAGCTCCTTGCTGGGAAAGCAGGCTTGGGGAATGGTGAGCATTCCACTTGGCTATAACATAAAGCTAGGCAGAGCTGGGAATGGTAGTGCATGTCTGCCTAGAATCCCAGCACTTCAGGAGACTGAGGCGGGGGGACCCTAAATTTGAATCCCATTTCAGTGACTTAGCAAGGCCCTGTGTCAAAATGTAAAATAACAACTAGAACTGCTAGGTTCGACTCCCAGTACTGGTGTAGCAGAAAATGCCCCTCTCAGCCACTATACCTCAGTTTCCATTGATTGGCTGGGTAATATTTATTTAGGCAGAACTGGGGATTGAACTCAGGCCTTTGTGCTTGCCAGGGAAGCGCTTATTCCACTGAGCCATCTCCCCAGCCCCAGTTGGCCAGGTTCTTGTTACTTCTTTCTTAGAAACAGCTGGTGTGATGCATAGTGGGGCACTATGATGCCTACCATAAGAACCAAGCCAGAGGGCTGGGGGTACGCGTTGGCAGCACAGTGCCTGCCTGGCAGGCACAAGGTCCTAAATTCCATACCTGGTTACCCCTCCCACCGCCACAAAAAAAGAAAAGAACCAATTAACAACGGCCAAGTACTTTATCTGATTTCTTGTCAGTATCTGTCAATGTAAATAAATCTGCCTCCACTAAAAACAACAACAACAACAAAAAAAGACACTAAAAAAAAAAAAAAGAAATAAACCTGCCTCCAAATCTTGGGTGTCCTTTCTGTTTACCATAGCACTGGTGAAAAAAAAAAAAAGAACAAGGTTTGGAATAATGGGAAACAGGTGTAGCTGAGGGGTACAATCTCACAAGGCACTGGATCACAGCAGAGGAACTTGGTTTATCCTCAGGCCTTGAGGAACGACATAAAGTCCTTGAGCAGGAGCAGGGCTGTCTTACAGATGCTGTCAGAAGATGCCTTTGCAAAGACGCGTGTGTAGGGCCTGTGGGAGAGCGTAGACATCAACAATATGTTGGATGTCTATTGCCTGGTGGAGGTCGTCAGGCACTGGGATCCAGAGTGGATGTTCAGGGCCTGGGGAGATAGCTCAACAGAATAAGCGCTTGCCTGGCAAGGACAGAGTCCTGAGTTCAATCCCCGGTACAAAAAAAAAAAAAAAAAAAAAAAAGAAGAAGAAGAAGGAGGAGGAGGGTGGACACTCAGAGTTGAGGAAAGATATACAGGCGAGAATTTCACCTTAGCACCTGCACCCTGTACATAAGAGCTTGGAGCACATGAGGCCCGAGAAGCTTCAGGCATGGAGAACAGGTGCAAAGAAGCCGGGGTGGGTGGCTTGGACACTCAGGAGTGGGGGGTCATGAGTCAAGGGTGGGTGGTGTCCTGGGAGGGCTGAGTGCAAACAAAGGTGCAGCTGAGATGGGAGGCCCTGTGAGGTACAGTGCACAACCCACAAGTCTGCATAAGTTGAATTTGTCAATTTATTATTATTATTATTTTTTACACTTTATTTACATTTATTTGTGTGTGTGTGTGTGTGTGGCCAGCTCAGCCCACCAGGGGGCGGGGCTGGCTGGCATGTGGTGCTGGGGGATCGAACCGCGGTCCCTGTGCTTTGCTAAGCTTGTTCTAAGTAGGTGCTTTAGACCACTGAGCCATCTCTCCAGCCCCTGCACAAGTTGTTATACGCAAGGCTATTTGCTCTTTGCAATTTACCCACTTGGCAAGTACCTACTAAGCACTGTCTACTTTCTCATTGCTGTCCTGTGTGCCAGGATATAGCAGAGAAAACGGACACAGGAATCTTGGCACTTACATTCTAGCAGGAAACAGACAAACAATGACAAAACCAGGGCACAGCCAGGGACACAGATGTAACCTGTAATCACAGTGCAGGGGAGGCTGAGGCAGAAGGATACTGGAGCTGAAGGCCGGCCTGGACCACCTAAGAAGACACTGT